TATGCCCCGTTTGTGTAGGAAGCACAGTTCTTTTGTTCTGAGCTAGCTCACTGTACTGGTCCTATGGGAAACACAGTACAGTTCAAGAATGCCCGTTTCTCAAAAGCAGAGTGTTTTATTTGTATGGCAAACTAGTGTTCAATTAAACATCCCAAACAGAGTTGAATCATATTCAGTTTCATGTTCTAGCAGCAAGTGTTGATTCTTGGTAAGAACACAACTCTTGTGCTATTCTGGGCATACCCAGTACAAAAACATTCCCGTCTGTTCACAGCAAGTACAGTGTATTGGACTGAATAAAAGCTCCTGTTTTACTTAGTTTCCAATACTGAGTTGAACTAGATATGCTCCGTTTGTGTAGGAAGCACATTTTTTTTTTGTTCTGAGCTAGATCACTGTACTTGTCCTATAGGAAACACAGTAGAGTGCATGAATGCCCGTTACTCAAAAGCAGAATGTTTTGCTTTTATGGCAAACTAGGGTTCAACTAAACTTCCTAAACAGATAGAATCACAGTCAGTTTTAATTTCTAGCAAGAAGTGTTAATTCAGGATAAGAACACCACTCTTTTGCTATTCTGTCGATACCCAGTGCAAATAGCACTCGTGTCTGTTCACAGCAAGTACAGTGTATTGGACTGAAGAGAAGCTCCTGTTTTACTTAGTTTCCAATAATGAATTGGACTAGATATGCCCCGTTTGTGTAGGAATTACAGTTCTTTTGTTCTGAACTAGCTCACTGTACTGAACCTATGGGAAACCCAGTAGATTTCAAGAATGCCTGTTTCTCAAAAGCAGAGTGTTTTCTTGCATGGCACACTAGGGTACAATTAAACTTCCTATATGGAGTTGAATCACATTCAGTTTCAACTTCTAGCAGCAAATTTAAATTAGGCGTAAGAACACCACTCTTGTGCTATTCTGGCCATACCCAGAGCAAATAGCATTCACGTCTGTTCCCAGCAAGTATAGTGTATTGGACTGAAGGGTAGCTCCTGTTTTACTTAGTTTCCAATACTGAGTTGACCTAGATATTCCCCGTTTGTGTAGGAATTACAGTTCTTTTGTTTTGAGCTAGCTCACTGTACTGACCCTATAGGAAACACAGTAGAGTGCAAGAATGCCAGTTTCTCAAAAGCAGAGTGTTTTTCTTGTATGGCAAACTAGTGTTCAATTAAACTGCCCAAACGAACTTGTATCACATTCAGTCAAGTTCTAGCAGCAAGTGTTGATTATTGGTAAGAATACCACTCTTGTGCTATTCTGGGCATATCCAGCGCAAAATCATTCGCGTCTGTCCACAGCAAGTACAGTGTATTGGACTGAAGACAAGCTCCTGTTTTACTTAGTTTCCATTACTGAGTTGAACTAGATATGCTCCGTTTGTGGAGGAAGCACAGTTCTTTTGTTCTGAGCTAGCTCACTGTACTGGCCCTATAGGAAACACAGTAGAGTGCAAGAATGCTCGTTACTCAAAAGCATAGTGCTTTTCTTGTATGGCAAACTAGGGTTCAATTAAACTTCCTAAACGGAGTTGAATCACAGTCAGTTTTAAATTCTAGCAACAAGTGTTAATTCAGGGTAAGAACACCACTCTTGTGCTATTCAGGCCATACTCAGTGCAAATAGCACTCATGTCTGTTCCCAGCATGTACAGTGTATTGGATTGAAGAGAAGCTCCAGTTTTTTTTTTTCACTTATAAAGTGTATGGCCATCGCAGGCTTCTTGCTAAGTGTTCTTTTATCTTAAATTAACCCATTTGTATAAATCTATACCTTGCCCCATGGCTGGTGGCTTACTAGAGTCTTTACATGCTGCTTGTCTTGGTTCGGTGGCTGCTGTGTCTGTCTCCTCAGCCTTCTGCTCCCAGCATTCTCCTTTCTCCCTGTCTAACCTATTTCCTGCCTGACAACCTACTTCCTTCCTTGTCACTGGCCATCAGTGTTTTAATTATATAGAGCAATATCCACAGCACTTCCCCCTTTTTTCTCTTTTTAAAAAGGAAGGTTTTAACTTTAACATGGTAAAATTACATATAACAAAACAATTACCGAGCAGGAATTATTGTTACAATATTAAAGAAGATGTCCTATCTATCTTATAATTGTGATTTTCAGGTTTTATATCTAACTTACCTTTTATCATAACTGAGGAAATTACAACTATATAGTTTTCAACCACATCAAAGTTCTGAGAAGGAACATAATGGTACCTGAGAAATGGTAGATGGATGAAAACAACTTTCGTAAATCTTGCAAGAGTAGACCAAGACAGCTGGCAGCCTGGACAGTCACCTAATGTTTCTCAGCATTGCTGGTGCATTCAAATTGGCTACAGGCCTAGAGTATCTGACAGACCATTTTCAGAAGCAGGAATTCTGAGAGACCATCTTA